AAACGTTATCGACTTCCTACACCTGATGCAGAGTCACAACCCTCGAACTAGCTTCCTATCAGCACTGTGTACTCGCAGCTCACTACCACCACCTTCTTGAAGACAACTGAGGATGGGCGATATTTTCCAGCCTAGCCACTGATGCCCTCATCCTGTGAAAGAATTAGAAAAAGTTTCGAAAAGAGACTTAAAACAATGGATTTAGACTTCCATTTAGTTTCGAGAGAATTTTTGCTCATTCAGTGCGGGATGCTGAATAATTTGTCTGATGATTTAGTGAGAGTAGAGGAGTTGGAAGAGGTGCTGGTGAGATAGACCTGGATGTCATCAGTGTACATGTGAAACCTAACTCCATTCTTTTGGATGATGTAATTGATGTACAGCATCTGGATGAGAAATAGAAGGGGCCCAAGGGTTGTTCCTTGTGGATCACCAGAAGCAATAGTGCAAGACCAGGAAGAGAATCCATTGTAAGTGATTCCCTGGCTATAATGTTGAATTGAACAAAATGGGAGCAATCCCACTCAGCTGACAATAGTGGAAAAGTATTTAAAGAAGATAATATATGAAATAATTCCACAAAAGCCGGTTTTCCGTCACCCTTTATTTGCACACGGATAGTTCATGACACACTCCCAGGTACCTCAGAGCCGGCTTCAAGAGTGACCAGACCCCTTGACACTCCTGCTTATATCTATCAGCCAAAGCTCCCTGATTGGGGCTGTTAACCTGATCCAATCAGGGAACTCATATTCTATGAGGTCCATCTGGCTGATCTTTTTCCAATCACTACAATATAATCAATCATACCAAAGGCTGCAGACAAGTTGAGAATGATGGAAGGAATGTTTAGCTTTGCCACAGTCACAGAGGAGGTTAGTTGTTACTTTGATAAGAGTTGTTTCGGTACATTGGCTGAGACTGAAACCAGATTGAAGGGAATGTATACACTGAATTCTAAGAAAGATGAGAACAGGTTGTGGAGGTGACAAAATATTCAAAGACTTTAAGGAGAAGGGATGGTGGTTTGCAATGAATTGAGTGTTCAGGGATTTCTGTTTTGAAGAGTGAGTGATGATAGCAGATTTAAAGGACAAAGTAAAACCCCCGAAGAGAGAGAATCTTTTGCCATCGTGGTTGATGTAGAGGGCAGAAGTTGGACATGAGTGACCAGCAGTTCAATGTGAAATGATTGAGCAATAAGAGGTGGCACTTACAGGCACAGTGATCTCAAAGGAGGCATGAGGGGAGGTAGGAGAGAAATTAAACCATGATGCAAGTTGAAGCAGAAAGTTGACTCATTTGTTCTCTCAAATAAGTCCATGAGCTGATCTCTCATTATTGGAGGTGAAAGTGAGAAGTTAGGGGATTGGGATTGAAGAAGATGGTCTGCAGTTGACGAAAGAAGTTTGGGAAGTTACCTTTGCATCCCTGGATGATCCTGAAGTGAATAACTTATACACACAGGTTTGGACCTGATGATGGAGCAGCCAGATCTGGCATTCAATGACTAAGCCAGTGATTGTGATTGTTGTGGTGTGACTGTCATCTCTAAAGGCCAGGATTAGTGAGAGTAATTGTTTTACAGGGCATGGAGGTAGCTAAAATATAAAAGGTAGAAGTGTGTGTGTGTGTGTGTGTGTGTGTGTAATTGCCTGCAGATATGTTGTGGCAATTGCAGAGCAAAGGCAAGATACTATTCGATACAAGTGCAAATTCAGTGCAACCTTCAGTGCATTGTTTGGCATAGCATACTGGAGAATGTAGACCCAATTTACTCAGCCTCTCATCAAAGTAACCTTGTAAAGACAATTACACTTTGAGTGAGAAAAACATTCGGCGTTAAGTTGAGATGTTCAGGCAGTTCGATTTGATTGTAGTATCTTGGTCCCAAAGAGAACAGTTTGATTTGCCATTTTCACTGGAAGGTCAACTTGACAACAAGTTCCATGTCCAGCTTCTCTCTTATTTTCTTTGTCCAAAGAGTCAAAAAGTATTCTGCTGCCTCCTATTAAATTTAACCATCCTCAGCAAGATTTGAATTTGGAATCTTTTCCTCACAAAGTATCAGACATGTCATTGGTATCTTCCTTTTGTCCCTTTCATAAAGTGTTTTGGGACGTGTTCTATGCTAATAAAGGCAACTAGAAAATTGCAAGCTGTTGTTGGTCACTTAGACAAAAGCAGTTAATATTATGTTGATCATTTGTTTTAGGGAAAAGGAACTGACTAATATTGCTAATTGACATGTTTAAGTTTAAAAGGATACAAATGGATGGAGACATTCAAATGGTGTGCAGAATATGATGGATTCAGAGATACTGAAATCACAAGGTATTGTGTCAGAAATGCAAGAAGTCTAGAATGTTATTCAGTTTAGTGATTAGATTGGTATTCTACATAATGTATTTGGATAGCTAGAATATCTTTATGCAGGAAATTAGTCTGTTAATAAATGAATTACGCAGAGTCAGAGAAGGGAAACGTTCAGTGGGAATTACTAACGTTTCTCATTTTGACACTTCATTTTGTCACATCCCTCCAGTCTTCAGACAGTTTTTCAGCCAATATATCCATTTAATATATCCATTTAATACCTTTTGAGAAAGTGACTGATGTCACAGATCAAAATAGAACAAAAGTAGGAATGTGCAAGAGTCAAGAAGCAGCTGAACCTGAGAATTCTTGGTATCTCTTCATTATTTAAAGCTTGAAACAAATTATGCAAATTTCAACAACTTGCTTTGAATGAAATTTTGAAGCCCTTCAGCAAAACAAAGGGAGAGGAACAAAGAATCAGAGAACATAAAATGTAAATCCATGCATCAATCAGTATCCATTTTAGATACGGAGAGAGCTACTCAGAGAGCTCGATCCACGAATAGCTGTAATGGAATGCGAAAGATCAGGAGCACCAGTAGGAGTTTGAGGAGTTGGTTAAGCCATTCCAGCAGAGGATAACTAAGGTGTTCCAAAGGATAAATGGAAGCAGTGACCAATGAAAGCAAAACAAGCAAATATTGATCAGCTGCAAGGGAAGAGTCCAGAATGTAATAAGAATGAGCAGAATTGGATCCAAGTATAAATATGGAACGAAGAGGAGCAGAAAAACTAAGGCTGCATGGTAGGCAGTAACTAGAAAGAGGGAGACCAGTAGCAAAACAGTCTCCGTAGAAAGCAGTGATGAGGGTAGAGGATGTGGTAAAGCTGAGAAGAGAAGGGATAAATGGAAGTTGCCCAGGGAAAGGTATATTTCTATCTAGGACGCAAAACAGAAACAAGCTGAGACCAACAGTGCATTGAACATACTGAAGCTCAGCTCACCTCAGCAGATAATGGTAGCATGCAGCTGAGGGCTGTGCAGGACCAAAATAAGCTCCCATTTCAACAATCAGCCACTGATTATTTCTTCAGAAAGTTTTGAAACGCTGACGTTTTATTCTGAACTACCATCACTTAAACTTGACAAGGAGCTTTCTGTTTGGGATTTTGTTGTACAAATTTCCAAATCGGGTATTAAACTTTATTTAATTTATATTGTCTTCATTTTGTTCTATCCCAGCCATTGTTAAGAAAATCCTTTTGTGTCATTTATCAGCTTGAAGGCCTGATTCAGACATTCAAAAGTGATCAACTCTGCTTTTGAATTGAACAAAATGATAATTCCCTGTCCTTCTACCTGACACATCCAGGCATTACACCTTTATATGAATTACGTAAAAGCACTGGTGACAATGCTCCCTGGTGCTTTCTCCGTGTAAATTCTCAACTAATCATAATTGGCTTGCCAAGCAATTAACAACTTTTTCTCATGGAGTATAACTTGTTGCTCCCTTTCAAATTTGATATTCTTACATCTGTCCTGATGTGTGAAAGATAAAATGATTCAATTGACGTTTGTTGCAAATTGCAAATAAAAAACTTTATGATCTGTCAAGTTGGTTTCACTCAGAGATTTGACATGTCCAGCAATACCATCAGCTGGAATCAAAACACCTAGTACTGTCGGAAATTGATTAACAGTATTAAAGAAATTGTCAAATTATCAACTCATGGATTCATGACAAAAAATCCTCAATTATTTAAAGCTAAGTAAGTGAGCTGAGCTACTCCTGGTGCTATGGACTTGGCTCTCACTGCATTCCTCTGAGAAATCCTCTTCCCCAGCAGTTTCACAAGCAGAAAATCAGCTAAGAGGGAGATGGACCCAGGGGACTTCTGCATATCTACTTATGCTTTTAATCTGCTTGGTGATCACACACTCTCTTTCTGCCTGTGCACTCCTTACCTGCGGTGTAACAGTTTCACTGTGCACGCTATCCATGCAGATCTCAGCCTTATGAGTGTTCCACAATGACTGCAACCACTATTCAAGATCTGAAATGCTGATAACAAGTAGCTGCAGCTGGAGACCGCTCCTGCCCACGTAGTCACCCTGGACACTTGGAAGTGCTCCTGATTTCCTACATTGTGCAACAGGAGTATTCTACATGACCGATCCACCCCCGCTGTGACTTCATCTTAAATTACTCTTTCTCTCACTTCCTCTAGTCCTGAGATTAGTAAATGTATCCGAGGGATCTTACCTTATTACTTATACTCTAACACTACTTATACTTTAACACTACTTAATCCAAACTAAGAATCAATTTTGAACTCTAAAGGCAAGGCAGTAAAAGTACTTACCTAGTTCGGCTTATCAAGGCCACTGTGCAACTCATGCTGGCTCCAGAGCCATTCAAATGAACTTGTTTCCATTGTGATTTCACTCCTTTTCGTTTCCTGGTGTCCATGAGGGTGAAGAAGACAAAGGAAGAAAGAGCACCCCCCCACTTCTTAGCGAACTCCCTTCACACCAAACTCATATCGATTTCATTTTGTACCAATGCACTCCCAACAAAAACTTGATCACTAGAGTGTCTAACCTGTGAATTTTGAGAATATTTGAATGTACGTTAGTGTTTCAAAAACAGAGTGTTCATTATAAAATGTTATTTCAGCAACAAGAACAGGACCCCACAAACTTGTATATCTCCAATCTGCCACCATCTATGGATGAACAAGAACTGGAGAATATGCTGAAGCCATATGGACAAGTCATTTCCACACGAATACTACGAGATACCAATGGCACAAGTCGTGGTGTTGGCTTTGCAAGGTATTGTATGTAGCTGCTTAAATGCTTCATTATACTATCAACTGGACAGTTAACCTTTTCATTCCAGAACATATATTTTCAGTGCCCCTGCATACGCTAAAAAAATTGCTTTACTTAATATAAAATATTGCAGGATCCTAGAAAAAAAATCCACCTTTGGTGTTCAGGCCTTTATCTATGTAAGTACTATTACTTTGTATAAGAAAGCTAATTGGAAGCAAGGATATAATCTTAATGAAAACCTATGGACATCACAAAGCATCTCAGTTTTTTTTTGCAGTGGCATAATTGAAATTTAGGTGGAGAGGAGATGATATTCATGTTAACTGTTTAGACTGAATGGCAGTGTGCAAAGAGTTAATCTGACAACTGATTTAGGATTGTCAGTAAGGCTCACGATTTGGCACAACTGTGATTACTGGTAGCAATTAATGAACAAGGCCCTGTTCTCTGATGGCAGGAAGAACACGTGCACAGATTTTGCTTGTTTCAGTGCAACAAAATAGGTGACAGCCATTCTGAACTTCCATTCTTAAGGAGATGCCTTAGCCAATCGGAGTCAACCAGCCTTGTTTAAAATTTAAATGAAGCTTTCATAGAATCCCGAAAGTGTGCCGTTTGGCCCATCGAGTCCATACCGACCCTCTGAAGAGAACCCCTCCCAGACCCACCCCGTCCCTATAACTCTGCATTTCCCATGGCTAATGTTGCCCATCTCTGAACACAGTGGGGCAATTTAGCACTGCCGATTCCACCTAACCTGCACATCTTTGGACTGTCGGAGAAAACCAGAACACTCAAAGGAAACCCATGTAGATATGGGGAGAATGTACAAACTCCGCACAGATAGTCGCCTGAGGCTGGAATTGAACCTGGGTCCCTGGCACTGTGAGGCAGTAGTGCTAACCATTGAGCCACTGGGCCACCCAATGCTTGGCAGCTAATCGTAAGTATTCATTAAATGGTAAGGGTCCTTTGTGGTGCAGTGATGGTGTCCGTACACCAGACCGGGAGGCCTGGGTTCAATTTGCACCTGCTGCAGAGGTGTGTAGTAATATTTCTGAACAGGTTGATTAGAAAAATAGGTTAAATGGTGCATTTTCCATGGCAAAATCTCTACCAATCAGAGTTTACATGCTAACCAATCAGCAGTATTCTATCATACAATATAAATGTTCTCTTCCCTTCACTTTGGAGTCTTATGCGACTTGTCTTGGTGACTGCAAGATGAAAGACTTCAGTAAAATGTGCCTTGCTGCAGCAATGTCAGACTACTAATTGCTAGCTTGCAGTACCAAAATGGATTGTAACTTAATGCTATATTATGTACAATTTTCCCATTTTCTGTAATTCTCCACTTCAGGTGTAATTGAACCAGAGTTAGTGTTGTTACTTTGTCTGTGAAGGACTGTTTAAAAACTAATTTCAATACTTAAAATATTACTTGCAGTATAAATTGCACCAAACATTTTTCCTTTGGTACAAACACCAAAAAAATGCCCAAGAATCTCACAGGTCTGGTTCCACCAAGAGAAAATCTAACATCACCCTTGACATTTGATGGCATTTCCATTGTTGGATCCCCCAGAAAAAAAACATCCTAGTGTTACCATTCACTAGCAAGTGAACTGGATTAGCCACATAAATACTACAGCTACAAGAGCAAATCAGAGAATAGGAATTCTACAGCAAGTAGCTCACCTCTTGACTCTCCAGTACTTGTCCGTAATCTCCCAGTAACAAATCAAGACTGTGATGAAATATTCTCCACTTGCCTTAGAGGGTGAAGCTTTAATTATGTTGAAAATGCTCAACACTATCCAGGAAAAAGCAACGCACTTGTTTGATGCCCAATCCAACACATTCCACATGCACCCTGTCCACCATTGATGTGCAGTTGCAGCAGAGTTTACCATTTGTAAGATGCGCTGCACCAACTCACCAAGTCTCCTTTGACAGCGTCTTCCAAACCAACAACATCCAACACCTGGAAGGACAAGGGCAGAAGCTATTTGAAAATGTGCAGCCGGTGATAGCCGAGGTGTAGTATTATTGCTAGACAATCAGAGACCCAAGTAATGTTCTGGGCACCTGGGGGGTCCATGTCCCGCCATTGCAGTTGGTGAAATATGAATTCAATAAAAATCTGGAATTAAGAGTCTACGGATGACTGTGAAACTGTTGCTGACTGTCATAAGAAAAACTCTTCTGCTACTAATGTCCTTTAGGGAAGGAGATCTAGTGGCCTTAACTAGTCTGGCTGACATGTGACTCCAGACCTACAGCAATGTGGCTGACTCTTAACTTTCCTCATTGGGGGTATGAACACAGTACAGATAGAAAACAGGGGAAAATCAAGTTGACCTTGGTGATTACTTGGTAGGGAAGTGTATTCAGGAATGTCTTAAATGGAAGAATGATCATAGAGCAGTTCAGGAGCATGGAAGGCTTTTGCTTGCCTCCTAGGTCCAAGGGACACTCTGCTATTCCTGGCCCTTGATGTAATAATTTGACTTTTTTGAGGGCCTCTTTGTTCTTCCTACTAATTGCTACAGCATTTTCCTTTTCAGGTCTCAGTTAAAATGTTGTTTGGAACCTATTACTGTAAAAAGATTCTAATTTGTATAAATCATTAAGGTTGCCGTTTGCTGTAAGTTGACATTTCATCCATCTGCAGAACCCTTGCGCTATTAACAGATAGTGGCAATGGATGAACAGGCAAGTAACGTTGTTTTTAATTATCCATGTGCTCTTTCCCACTGTGGAAGGGTTAAAAATGATACCAGTAATTTGTGTAGGCCAGCATTCGTGATTAGATTGAATGAGAAATTAGTTTGCAACAAGTTTGAGTTTATGGAGAAAGTCTGTTGAGAAGTCATTAAGGGTAGTGTTGAAAAAAATACCAAGAAAGACATTGTTGACATACTACAGCCAGCACCTCCAGCATACAGCATCCCAAGAATATTTGAGAGAAGCTGCATTGCTACTGGGGTTCTTGTGGCCCAGTCTACCTCTGAGGCAGGAGGCCTGGATTCAAATCCCACCTTCTCCAAATGTGTTTCATAACATGTCTGAACAGTTTGATTGAAAACATCCACAGTCAGTCTCCAATCTGAAATCAGCCTGTAGCAAAGCAAAACTGTTCATTCATATGATGCATTGAAATTGCAAATATAACTATATTTATTTATCTTCTGGTATTTATTAAGCATTGCTGGTTGCCATATTAAATGTGTCATTAATTGTTTCCAACATTTCTGTAACTTAAAAAATAACTGTTTTAGGGTTTCCCAAGGCTGTAGAATAGAATTGAGAAATTTAAAATCCGTTAAATATAAAAATTATTCAATCAAAAATTAAATTTGGTGTAATAGAATTGATTGATCTTACGGAATCATTTTTATTCATTCATGGAATGTGAGCTTTGCTGGCTGGGCCAGCATTTATTGTCCAGACCTAAGGTGGTAATGAGTTGACTTCTTGAACGCTGCTGTCCATTTAGTATAGGTAGACCCACAATATCATTAGGAAAGAAATTCCAGGATTTTGACCCAGTGAAGGAACGGTAATATATTTCCAAATCAGGATAGCATGTGGCTTGGGGGGAAATTTGTAGGTGGTGGTGTTCCCATGTATTTGCTGCTTTTGTCCTTCTAGATTGTAATGATTGTGGGTTTCCAAAATACCATGTAAGGAGCACTCGGTGACTTTCTGCAGTGCATCTTGTAGCTGATACACAATGCCACTACTGTGTATAAGTGGTGGAGAGTGTGAATATCTTTGTGCATGTGCCAATGATCAAATGAGCAGCTCTGTCCTGTCCTGTCCTGGCTCCTTGAGTGTTGTTAGAGCTGTACTTATGCAGGCAAATGAGAAGTATTCCATCACATTCCTGACTTGTTTCTTGTAGATGGTGGTCAGGCTTTGGGAAATCAGATGAGTTACTTGATGCAGGACTCCTAGCCTCTGACCTGCTCTTGTATCCACTGTATTTACATGGATAGTCCAATTCAGTTTCTGGTCAGTGGTGACCCCAAGATGTTGATAGTTGGGGATTCAATTATCGTAATGCCATTAAATGACAAGGAGTGATGGTTAGATTTTCTATGGTTGAAGATGGTCATTGCTCGGCATTTGTATGGCGTGAATGTTACTTGCTACTTGTCATGCCAAACTGGATATTGTCCAGGTTTTCCTCAACTTGGATTTGGATTGCTTCAGTATCTGAGGAGTTGCATAGTGCAATCAATGAACATCCCCACTTCTGACATTCTAATGGAGGGAAGATCATTGCTGAAGCAACTGAAGATGGTTGGACCTCAGACACTCACCTGTGGAACTCCTGCAGATATGTCTTGGAGCTGAGTTGACTACCTCCAACAACCACATCCATCCACCAGTCTCCTGGTGTGGTAATTGCCCAGGTTGCATTTGTCCCTTTTTTTTTGTGTACAGGACATATCTTGGCAATTTTCCACATTGTTGGGCAGATGCCAGTGGTGGAGATGTATTGGAATAGCTTGACTACTGGCATAAGCTCTGGAGCATGATTTCAAGACTATTTCTGAAATATTGGCAGGACCCATAACCTTTGCAGTATCCAGTACCTCAAGCCATTTCTTGGTATCACATCGAATGATTCAACTTGATTGAATAATGGCACCTGTGATGGTAGGGACCTCCGAAGGAGGCCGAGATGGACCATCGACTTGTCACTTGTAGTTGGAGACTATTGTGAATTCTTCAGCCTTATCATTTGCACTGATGTGCTCCCCTACAATTGAGGATGATGTGGATGTGCCGGTGTTGGACTGGGGTTGACAAGGTCAGAAGTCACACAACACCAGGTTATAGTCCAACAGGTTTATTTGAGATCACTAGCTTTTGGAGCTCTGTTCCTTCAACAAGTGAAATGAAGAGATGCACAGGGTTTACAGGCAGAGAGATCAAAAATTGTACAAATGGTATGAGTGCTGAATAATAAGTCCCTGCAGGTAATCAAAAGCGTCAGATGGTGTGAGTGAAGTGTCAACAGCTGAATTGCAAGTGAAGTAGTGCTCTATAATCCAATTAAATGAGGCAGAGAGATGATTACAAAAAATTAAAAATTAAGGTGGTGCTGGAGACAAAGGAAATGGCTGGAATAACATGATAGGTATAAGAGTCGTATGCCAAGGATCTAACCAAAGTAGATAGTAATCTAAAACTGTACAAACTAATTAAGGTAGCGAGATCATAACAAGTTATCAAGGTGATGGTGTCAAAACTGTCTTGTTACAGGAATAGGATAAGGTGGTGGTTCTGGTGGGTTGCTCTTCAGAGGGTCATTGTGGACTCAGTGGGCCGAATGACCTGCTTCCACACTGTAGGGATTCTATGATTCGAAATGGACTGCAGCAATTCAAGAATGTAACTTACCAGCACCTTCCCAAGTGCTACAAAGGTCGGGCAAGAAAATGTTGGCCCAGCCAACAATACCCACATCTGATGAATCAATCAATTTTCAACATATGCTTTTTTTTTCTCTTGCTGGTTCTGTCACCATCTGCTGCAAACCCAGTCGAGCAGCATTGTTCTTTAGGTCTCCAACAGCTCAGTCAGTAACAGTGCTGCTAAGCCATTCTTGGTGATGATCATTGAAGGCCCTATCCAGAATCAATTCTGCACTCTTTCTACCCTAATGATTCCACCCTACGTTATTCGTGGGGGAGCATTGGTTCATCAGCCTAGGGAGGTTGGCACATGATAATCAGCAGGAGGTTTCCTTATTCATGTTTCACCTGGTGCCATGAGACTTCATGGGGTCTGGAATCGGTGTTGAAGACTCCCAAGGCAACTCCCATCATGACTGTGCCACTATCTCTGCTGTGTATATTCTGTCCCACCAGCAGAATCATAATGTTGTTTTGGATATTGGTTATAAGTTATGGTACCATGAGAGTGGCTGTGTCAAGTTTTTGATTGCCTGACGATGGGAGCAGGAGTATGCCATTAGAAGCTTTGAGCCTGCTCCACCATTCAATCTGATGATGGCTGATCAGTGAGCTAAATACCCTAATCCCACCTTCCCCCAATATATCTTGATCCCTTGAACCACAAGAACTATATCTACATCCTTGAAAACACATAGTTTCTGTGGTAGTGAATTCCATAGGTTTACCCCACACTCATCTCAGTCCTAAAAGGTTTACCAGACTAGCCTGTGAGACAGTTTTCCCAACTCTGCTAACTTTGTAGGGCGATAAGGACACGTTGCCATTATAATGCCTGGTCCCTTAGTCAAAGTCAGATCATCCATCCAGTTTAGTTCCTTTCTTTAGATTTTACAGCATTTACTGTTAATGGGCAGTTAAGCATCAACAACATTGCAGGTCTGGTATCATGTACAGGCCAGACCAGATCGGGATGGCATTTTCCCTCCATAAAGTGAATTAGTGAACCAGCTCAATTGTTACAACAATAAACAATAAGCAATGATTTCATGATCATCGCTCAACTTCTTTTAATTTCAGATTTTTATTGATTGTGCCCTCTGCTTTGGTGAGGTTCAAACCCGGTTTCAAACATTACCTGAGTCTCTGGACTACTGGTATAGTGACAATTCCACTAGTTGATCATCTCCCCTTTATTTGTATTAATGCATTTGGTTCATTTTTAGTATCAAGTGATGCTTTTTTGCTACCAGTTCTTAATTCTGATGAACAGGAATCCAGGATAAAAAGTGAAGATCAACATTTTAATGAACAAGGAGAATGTTTGTTTGTGGCAGGCTTTATTTCTGCTTTATAAAAATTGTTATTACATTAAGTTGAAAAGTCTTTGAAGTATATTCACTTGTAAATTTTTAAGTAACTTACATAAATGAAAGGCATTAGTCTAAAATTGAAGTATTCCCAATAACTTTAATCAACAAGTCAAGCAAATTGGTTTAGAGAACTGAAAGAAATTTGCTTAAATGCTTAACACTGTTTATTAAGTGAAAGTAATTCTCGGCTTTACAACATAGAAAATAATTTGATCATAAAAATATTGAAGCTTTATAATGGAATCTCACCATCAAACATTATTCAATTCATTACCATTTCTCAGCAGTGTAGAATTTCTTGATAATATAAACCATCTGAGGATAAACAAAGAGCCCACCAGTAATCTATGCTACACTGTCACATAAACAACAAAAAGCTTTTGACTAGACACTGTCTGCACATTATAAAATAATGAAACGTCAAGTTTTTTTTTTATGACTGAGGGGGAAAAATGGTTACTGCTTTATTAAATAACTTTACAATCATTCATACCTCTTCAATGCTTTTTCTTCCTTTACTAGGATGGAATCAACACAGAAGTGTGAAGCTGTCATAGCCCATTTTAATGGCAAATTTATTAAGACTCTGCCTGGTGTCCCAGGTGAGTTTTCATTACCTTTGCTAAACAATGGATTGTTGGAATAATTGCCATTATTAATAAAGCAAGAGAAGATGACGTATGAAATGTGATTGCTTTGGAGCCAGGGCTGAAATTTTGTTTTATTTTTTGAGGGTTACATTTTGGTTTTCAGGGGCTACTTTTCCATTTTATGAACACACTGTTATGTGATGCAATTACATTAATATTGATTTCCTCTTTGTGTTGATGTATGAGATATTTGGACCCTCACAGAAACAGAATTAGAAGAATGAATTGATGTCCTTAATAATTATCAACAGTCCATTAAATTCAAAGTCACAACACAGAAGGAGTGCGTTAATTTCCTAGACACCACAGTGTTTAAACTGGCGCAAGATAATAGATACAAGTTGTTAACAAGTGTTTTTATATGTAACTACACACTTATACGTACAAAAACCATCACTCTAAACACATCTTCCAAATTGGTGAAGTCACAGCATGTTCACAAGCTGAAAGATTTTATCCAGGCATTTACTGCCTCTTTATTCTATCTCTGATCTCCAAATGTACTTAAATTTAATGAATTGACACAATGCTAAGTATGATAGCATCAAATACATTTCCCCATAAAGCAGTTCCTGAACACACACAGTCCTAAACTAGAGATTTCACATTCACTCCTCAATAATTTCAAGTTTTACTAGCTCTTAGCTGAGTCTACCTTTGGTTTGAAACTGTTCTGTCTTCTTTGTAACACCCCTCTCTCTCTTCTCTCCATTTTTCAGCCTCCTTCTTTCATCTATCTTCCAGCCACCCTCTGTCCCCTCACTCCAAAAGCTGCCTTTTTTCCCCAATGCAGTCTCCTTTTTCTTTCTTCCCCTTTTGCAGCCTCTTCTTTCCATTTCCGCAGCCACCCTCTCACTTCCCTGCATCTTGCAGCTACCCTGTTTCTTCTCCCTCCCCACTTTCCTCACTCTCCAGTTTCCCCCACCATGCAGTCATCCTGTATTTTCCTCAGGCTTATTATCTACCTTTTTTCAACCTATTTTCAGCCTCCTCTCCCTATTTATCTCACGTAGTCTCTCTCATTGTCCCTTTCACACCCATTGCAGACTCCCTCCCTCTCTCTCTCTACCATGCATCCTTTACAGACTCCCTCTCTCCCAACACCTTGTGCCCTCCATTTCTCCCATTACCACTTCTACTGCAGCTGCCCTCTATCTTTCATGCCTCTCCCCGACATCCACTGTGCCCACTCTGTCTTCCCTAGTCACCTTGCAATTTATTTCTTTTATCTACACAATAGACAAACACACATGCGCGTGCACGCACGCACACCCCTTACCACCTGCCCTGACCCTCACTTCCACCCTCCCATCTTGACAAACAGTGGCTGTCTCCAAGCTTTAATCATTCTGTCCCTGGCTCTGTGTCCTGCTGTTGCACCTCAGCAGACTCCATACCAACAACTCTTTCATGATGAGAACATACCCTGCTCGCTGCTTCTCCAATCAAAAGTTGCTTCTCTCCAATATTTATTGCTGTTGTGGGAGAGACCAAGCCTGTGTTTGGAGGAGCAGCTCCTCATTGTTTCTGTCCATTCACCTTTTAAGGTGGTGAATTTTCTCTGGTCACCCTACAAAGTGAATTTTAATTTGCTAACCATCCCTACGTATTTTGATCTCTGTTCCAAGTACAGCTAAGGCACTGTGGAATTGATGGTTGTGGTGCTTCAAGTATATACTTAGGAGCCAATCCATCCATTCAATCATCATGCCTTTTACTGAGTAATGGATAAGTCTTCATGAAGTTATGAGTTATGCCTTCATGAATCTTCATAGCTGTTAGATGTTAGTAAACATCCAGGAATAGAGCGCTGGCAATTAAAGCAAATGTTTTTAATCAGCTTGTTTGGACATGTTATGATGCAACTCTGTGACATAGTAACTGGAAAATGACAGAACAGCAGCTAAGGCAAACTGCCCAATTCAAAGTGGAAAATAATTTCAGGTAAGTTGAAGTTGATTAATCGACTAGTGGACAGGAAAAACACAATTTCAAATTAATAGATGCAAATGATCATGCAATATATTGCAACACTTTAATGCATTGCTGAGAATATATGTGAACTACTGACTTCTGTCAGAGTTTGATATTGGATAAAAGGGCAGAAGTCTCTTATTTACACTTGTTTTAAATTCTTTCTCTTTAAAACCTAATGCATTTAACCCTACTGTAAGAAGGGCCACAAAACTTTTTACATCAAATTCTGGTGCTGGTATTTGGGTCGAATACAAATGCTTCATACTGTGACATGAACTGTTGAAATATGTTAAATCATACTAATAGCCATCATCTGGATCATGGTTGACCCAACAAAAATTGCTATTGATAGTGCACAAAATACATTCTTCAATTCCTCCAAAATGGAGAAGAAAAGATTGTATACCACAATCTGGTGAAAAGAAATGCTTTATGAAGAAAAAGTATAATTATCCTGTGGAACGCTTTAAAACCATGACTCCATTGGTTAAAGCCATACTCTAGGTCTTGATTCTGCTGAGAAAAGGTTAACTTTTTAATTAGCTGGGACAGCAGGCTCCATCTCTTTGTTCAAGCGATGTAAGGTGACAATATTTGAATGGAAATCTCTCAATTTTGATCAATGTGTGTCCCTCCAACAAAACCACAAAAGCAAAGTGTATGTGGACTTTGTCAACAAAGTTGTGCCATATTTGCCTATATTACAATAGTGGCTGTACTTCACAAATAATCCTCTAGCACTGAATAGTGAGATTTTGAAGATTTCTAATGCACTACATAAGTGTAATTTATTTCCTTCTCAAAGAAGGTAAAAATACACTTGGCCTTTAATTATTTCAGCTTGGGTAATTTCCTTAATTACTAGACAGTGTTTCATTTGTTACCATTCCTACTGCTGGTTGACTGTAAGTATGATGTATTTGCTGCCTCAACAGTGATAGTGCAAGCATCAATGTAGCGAGATGCACACAGTCTAAAAATATAAATGTTTGTGGGGAAATCAGCTATTATGGGACAATTTACTTTTAGATCAATTTATGTGCACATCTGGTAATAATCCACAGCAAGAAAGAAATGTTGAGTGAAATCCCAGTATTTTTATATGGCGTGCATGCTGAGCCAATTCCATCCGAATTCAGAATTACTCTGAAAATATTGTGTGTGTGCACTGAATATGCTACTTCATGGCATCAAAGCAAAAGGTATTACTTCACTTTTTGCAAAGCTTGTCTGCTCAGTTATATATGTTCACGGATTTGAGTACCATAATGCCCAGTGAAAATGTTCCCTGAACAAGAGGCCCTAGATCTTTTCTTCTGTTTCCTTCCCTATAATAATTGAATTTTACCTACGTGTAAAACTAAATAAGAGTTCAGCCACTTTAAATCAGAAACCAGTAATGATCCTGTAGGTAGGTATCGTATGAGCCTTTGAATAGCGCTGACCCTTCTCCGAACATTAACGATGAAGTGTAAACAAGCAGTGAGCTCCAAGTTCTGCCCCTAATTGAATGCAGCTAAATGTGAATTTGTGCTGTTAAGAAGGAACTTTGTTTTTTTCCAATTGTGTTGTCTTCTAGAACTGCTACAGTCCTTAGGGTGTAGATATACCCACAGGGCTATACGGTAGGGAGTTGCAAATATCTTTGCCAGCAGCAGTGATGTAAAAGTTATACATTTCCAAGCCAGAACGGTGTGTGACTTGGAGAGAAACTTGCAAGTGGTATTCTCATGTATTTGCTGCCCTGTCCTTCTAAATGTTAAGAGGTCATGGACTTGGAAGGGATTTTGGTATTAACACAAAAACCTCAGCTAAATTTCAAAGTAAAAATTGGAGAGAAGTTAGTGCTTTGAGCAACATTGAAATGGACGGATCACATGAAATTGTTGGAAGAATTGTTCAAGATTGATGGAGTGTTTGGTAGATCGCTGGAATGAGCAGATGACTGATTATTGCAGGTTAACATAGAGAAAAGTCATAGACTTTAAGACTGAGAAAAAACTGTTACATCCTAAATAATGGAGTGGACAATTAGAGACATGTTGTTGAAATGCACAGGTCGTGGAAAATGCCAGTTAGATTGATACAGCCAAATAGAGGCACAGAGAATCCTTTGTATTCTCTGCCTCTTTAAGAGGAAACTAAGGCAAAAGAGGTAATATTGAACTTGCACAGGTTTTTAGGATACAGGTTGAAGACTGTGCAGTTTGGATGCCCTATTGTAGGAAAGGTTTTGAAAACTAGCATAAGGTAATGGGAAAGTTGCATTACCAGTTCATTGGGATGTTAGCATCATTAGATTGTAATAGCACACTAGAAAGAGATGTCCAATTTATATTTCTCTTTCCATTTTTTTCTCCATAACTTACCAATTAATCACCATTAAGTGTGTGCACAATTGCCTTTTTACAGTTACAGTAGAATCTGATCACTTCACCCTTTCGGGTGGTGCATTCCAGATCTTAACACTCCAGGTGAAAGTATTTTTTTTCTCATTTCCATTCTATTTCTTTTGCCAAGTATTTAAGAAAAAGTCTGTTACCATTTGCTAGGGAAAGAGCTATTTCCTGTTTGCTCTGTCAAAAACCAGTGTAATTCTGAATGCATATAATAAGGCTGTCTTTGACCTGCTGTGTTCTAAGGAGAAAAATCCCAGCTACTCCAACCTGCCTATATAACCAAACAATCTGAATACTGGTATCATCCTTGTAAACCATCTCTGTGTTCCCTTTAAATCCTTCCTAATTGGTGCCCAGAACCATTACTCCAATCAAAGCCTAACCAGAAATATGTAAAACTAAACTACAAGGTTATTGATGTTGTATTCGCTGCCCCTATTTCCAAAGTCAACTTCTAGTACACTTTTCTTAACTATCTTATCAACCAGCCCTTCCATGATCAAATATTTGTGAATGAACCAACTTCGGTGCTTTCATGCCATTCTTGGCCCATACTCAAAATAATATTGCTTAGAC